CTGGAGAGGATGTGGAACTAGGGGAACTCTCCTCCACTGCTAGTGGGAATGCAAGCTTGTACAACCACTTTAGAAATCAATATGGCGCTTTCTTAGAAAATTGGGAATCAATCTCCCCCAAGATTCAGCTATACCACTCTTGGGCATATACCCAAGAAATGCTCAATCATACCACAAGATATCCCTCTTGATCTGGCCTCTTGATCTCAGCCACATAGGAATCCTTCTGGCCCATGCCCACCACAATGCCCTGGTATCTGGGATGCCCCTGACGATGGATAGGGAACACAGCTCTGAAGGCATCAACATCAGCAAAGGCAACTTTCTTTGAACATGCAGGAGCCACTGTGAATGAGGAGCTCAGTGTTTTCTTCTCTCACTGCCATCAGCAGAGGATGGGTCAAAAGAGCAGGGGAAAGATATGCAGTACAGACCAGCAGCAGAGAGTGAGCCCTAATTATCCTTCTTTATATCAAACTCTTCCCCTAAACAATAGGCATGATAGTTCATTGATACCATTATTTTAAGGCATTAGTAAAACTCTATAAGTGTTTGACAACTTTAGTTTGCATAAGAATTTTCTGGCAGTTAGGTTAAAACAGATGGTAGGGTACAATGTCACAGTTATAATTCAGAACCTGATGACAGTATACAGGAAATGTTTTATAAACAAGAACTCTGATGCTATTAATAAATGTTAGGTAATTAAAAATCAATATATGCCTGGCTATATAATACCTAAGTTAAGGGTCTAAACAATGCCAGGAATTAGGAAGCATAAACTATAGTGAGACATGAACAAGACCTAGATCAGCCCCCTCAATTAACATTGGTAGTGGAGACCATGACTGGGGCCAATGTTGATCACTTAACATCATGCCTTATCAGTCTCATAGGAGCTCTCTTTCTGTTGCAAGTATGGCTTACTCTGGGCACAGATCTCATTCAATCTCTGCTTCTGGGTATTACATCCTCACATTCAGTGTTTGAAGTACCATCCACTGCCTCCCCTTACTGCCTCCTTAATGATTGCTAGAACCTGAGAGGGCATGACACCTCTTCCTGTGCTCTTTTCTTGTGGAAGTCATTCTATTGTTCTTTTAGCAAGATCACTGTAGTGATTTAAATAGAAATGATAGAAATGGCCCTCATAGGTTCCTATGCTTGATTGTTCGGTCATTAGGGAATGATACTACTTGATAAGGATTAGGAGGTATGGGCTTGTTGGAGGAAGTGTGTCACTGGGGGTGAGCTTTAGTTTTCAAAATCCTACACCAGGCCTAGTGGCTTTGTCTTCCTGCTGAGTGCAGATCTGCATGAAGAACTCTCAAGCTACTTCTCCAACACCATGTCCACCTGCATGCTGCCACAAGGATAGCAGACTAAACCTCTGAAACTGTAAGTCAACCCCAATTAAATACTTTTTTATGAGAGTTGCTGTGGCCATGGTGACTCTTAGCAGCACAGAACACAAACTAAGATGATCACCATGAAAGGGAAAGTCTTCCTAGGATCAATACACCAGGCTGGAGTCATGCCAAAGACCAAAAATCTATACCTCTGTAAAACACTCAGAAAGTAACATACATAACATACATAATGAGTAAAAGGACCACTTTTCAAGGAGGTGTTAAAGGAATCTAGGAAATTTGTTCAGTCTCAATCAAGTACCATAATATCACTATCATAAAATGTAAATATAAATGAGTATTTTCAAAGGCATGTGGGTTGTGGGGAATCACTCACATCTTTCATCCCCTGGGTCCTGTAAAAGCTGTTAAATACAGTCATTTGTGTATCATTTCAATTCACAAAAATCTCGTATTAAAATGAAAATTCAATGTGATTATCACTTCAAAAAAAACATATTGCTAACTAAAGTGTGGAGACAAAGAAAGGAATGCAAAAAGGGATGTGTCCAGATGTCAGAGGCAGAAGACAACGGACTATCACAGGGTGACCATGGTGTTGTCACAAGGCAAAGTGGAATTGCCAGGGAAAGGACAGTAAAAATGGGGACATCAGACAAGAAAGGGAAAGTGGACAAGATGGAACTGAAAATTAAGCTATTTCAGCACGTTACTCAGACATCCCTTGTCCCTAAATCATCTTGAGAGGTGAATTTGATTCCATCCTGAGCACAGGAGAGAATAGATGATGTCCTACATTCTCTTTCTGGGTACATGTGAGAACATCCCTGGATTGATTCAAATCCTGGGAACATGAGTTTTATTTATATTGCTAAATTTTAATATGTTTACATGAGTCTTGTAAATTGCTGACAAATGAAAATATTTGCACTTGAATAGATTTCTTTGTTAAGAGACTTTTAAATTTTCCTCTGTTGGGGATATCATATCAGTTTTGAGTCTGCCTACTGCTGCTTTCTTCAAAAAATACAAATGTGTGAGTCTAAGCTAGGCAAGTCTGTTCTGCCATATGATTTAAATGTTATATAAACAGTCAACTTGAAGACCATTACAGGATAAAGTGTTTGTTATCTGGCCCATTAGAATAAAAAGGTTACTGACTACCTGTACGAGTGTTACCCCCTCTTTTAAAAAGCCTCGAAGTCAGGTGCCTTTTAAATAAAACAACCTTCAGAAACTAAACACTTCCATCTGGCTGGCATGTGAACCTCAGCAGAGGAGAATGTGACAGTTACTCTCAGTTATTACCAGGACTAGATAGATGTCTAGGAAACTGCTAAAGCATACTTCCAGTGGGTCTATGAGTGGGTTTCCAAGAAGGACAATCATGTAAGGAAGTGATATGAGTGAGGAAGTCCTGTCTTGAGTGTGGACAGCACTATCCAGTAAACTGAGGGCGTGGATAGAACAAACAGTGGAAAGAGAGCAGGCTGCGAGCTAGTCTGCTGTTTGGTAGGTGTGGGGTTTGCTGCTCCTGTTGCCTGTGGATTTGGCCTTTGAACACAGACTCTTACCAGTTGATTCTCAGGGTCTTCCAGGATTTCATCCACAAGCAGGGGCGGCACCATTGGATCCCCGTGGACTAAGATGTGCAGTTCATGGGTTGAGTTTACTGGGTGTTCTGTCCCCCAGCCTGCAGACTGGAACTTCTAAACATCCGATCATTTCTGCTTAGAGTCAATTATACTCTCTGTAGTTCTTCTGGAGAATTCTGACT